ACTTAGTTGGCTTTCATGTCTTGGCTACTGTAAATAATGCTGCAATGAACATGGGAGTGTACATATATCTTTTCAAGTTATTGTTTTCATTTCCTTTGGAAAATACCCAGAAGTGAAATTTCTTGATCATATGGATATTTCTAGTTTTAATTTTTTGAGGAAACTCCATACTGTTTTCCATAGTGGCTGCATCAATTTACATTCCCAGCCACAGTACACAAGGGTTCCCTTTTCTCCATATCCTCCCCAACACTTGTTATTTTTTGTCTTTTTTATGATAACCATTCTAGCAGGTGTGAGGTGATATCTCATTGTGGTTATGATAGGCATTTACCTGATGATTAGTGATGTTGAGCATCTTTTTATGTGTCTGTTGACCATTTGTATATCTTCGGAGAAATGTCTATTCAGATCCTCGGCTCATTTTTAAAATCAGATTTTTTTTTGCTACTGAGTTATAGGAGTTCTTTATATATTTTGAATATTAACTCTTTATCAGATATATGATTTGCAAATATTTTCTCCCATTCAGTATGTTGCCTTTTCATTTTTTCGTAGGCTTCCTCTGCTGTACAGAAACTTTTTAGTTTTGTATAGCCCCACTTGTTGATTTTTGCTTTTGTAACCTAACAATGTGTATCTTGATTATGGTAGTGTTTAATAGAATTTATAAATGGGATAAAATTGCTTAGGACTACACACACACATATACACAAATGCATATGAAAACTGGCAAAACCAGAATGAGGTCTTTAGTGCATTTAAGTTTTGTACCAATATCAGTTTCCTGGTTTTGATATTATACCATACTATAGTTGTATAAGATGTCACCATTGAACAGAAGTTGGTAAAGGGTACATGGGACTATATGCTCTATGTTTGCAATTTCCTGTGCATCTATAATTATTTCAAAATAAAGAGTTAAAAAGTCCTTAGAAGTAGCAATTGAGAGCACTTATGTGGAGTCTCAAAATATAAAGCTCCATGTAAATTGAAGACAACAACAAGAACAACCTAAAAAAGGTAATATTCAAAACTTATCACTTCTTGGGGCGCCTGGGTGGCTCAGTTATTAAGCATCTGCCTTTGGCTCAGGTCATGATCCCAGGGTCCTGGGATCGAGCCCCGCATCGGGCTCCCTGCTCAGCGGGAGGCCTGCTTCTCCCTCTCCTGCTCCCCCTGCTTGTGTTCCCTCTCTCGCTGTGTCTCTCTCTGTCAAATAAATAAATAAAACTTTAAAAAAAACCCAAAACTTATCACTTCTTTATTATTTTACTACATTTTATTATCATCTCTGCTGTTGAAGTTATTTATATATAATTGTATTCTTATATAGAAATACTATGTAATGGTATGCTCTTGTGCATCTCTTCCTAACTCTGCATTCAGTGATGTAACATTGGCTGCTTGAAATCGGCTATGATAGGAGAATTTATATCATGGAAATCAGCAAACACTACAAACCAGTCTTCAATATATCCAAAACCCATTTATGGAACATTTACCAGCTCATCATTTGATATATAGGAAAACTTCAAGTATTTATAAATTAAACAATATGCTTCTAAATAACCCATAGATCAAAGAAGAAATCACAAAATAGTTTGAACTGAATGATAACACTTCAAAATGTGTAAGATGAACTAAATTAGTTCCAAGAGGGAAATTTATAGCTTCAAATACCTCTATTAAAAAATAAGAAAGGTCTAAAATCAGTTATCTAAGATTCTACCTTAAGAAGCTAAAAAATAAATGAAATTAAACCCAAAGTAAGTAAAAGGAAAAAAATAATAAAAATCAGAGTAGAAATTGATGAAATAGAAAGTAGACAAGAATAGAGAAAATTGAGACCAATAGCAGATTCCTTGAAAAGATCAATTAAATAGATGAATATGATTAGAAAAAAAAAAAAGAGAAGATACATAGTACCAATATCAGGAATGAAAGAGGGGACACCTCTGCAGATCTTATAGATATTAGAAAGATAATAAGGGAAATTATTAATAACTTAATGCCAATAAATTTGAATGTAATGTAAATACCTTGACAGACATACAAAGCTTACTCAGGAAGAAAGAGAAAATCTGAATAGTCCTACTCGCATAAGGAAGTTAAATATGTAATTAAAAAAGAAAAGACAAAGAAAACTCCAGGCCTACCCCATTCCTACCATAGACTCAGAAAATATAAGAGGGGATACTTCCCACAGTTTGACCATAGTTATCACTGTGATATTCAAAACCAGACAAAGCCATCCCAAGAAGAGTACATATCAATAGCCTTCATGAACCTAGATACAAAAATTCTTTTTTTTTTTTTAAAGATTTATTTATTTATTTGAGAGAGCGAGAAGGAGAGACAGAGAGCATGAGAGGGGGGAGGGTCACAGGGAGAAGCAGACTCCCTGCCGAGCAGGGAGCCCGATGCGGGACTCGATCCCGGGACTCCAGGATCATGACCTGAGCCGAAGGCAGTTGCTTAACCAACTGAGCCACCCAGGCGCTCCTAGATACAAAAATTCTTAACAAATATTACTACATAAAATTTAGCTATATAAAAGATAATAATATCCAATTGAATTAAGTTTGTAAGCTTGGTCTTACATTTGAAAATCAATGCAATTTACCACTAGAATAGCTAAATTGTTTTAAAAATTGATAACACTAAGTTATGGCAAGGATGTAGAGTAGCTGGAATTCTCAAACATTTGTGGTGGGAGTGCCAAATGGCAACAGCCACTTGGAAAAGCTGGCAGTTTAAAACTAGTTAAACACACATGTGCCAGTAATTTCACTCCTAGCTATTCACCCAAGAGAAATGGAAACATTGCAAAGATTTGTACACAAATATTCATAGCAAATTTATGTATAGCAGGGAAAAACTAGAAACAATCCAACTGCCTATCAATAGATGAAGGTATAATAAATTTTCTCTTATCTACACAATCAAAAACCACTCAACAATAAAAAAGAAACAAATTACTGATACATACAACATGGATGAATCTCAGAAACATTATGCTAAGTGAATAAGCCAGATGCAAAAGAGTACATATTATATGATTCCATTAAATGAAATTATAGAAAAGGCAAAACTAACCTGTATTGATAGAAAGCAGATTAATGGTTGCCTTGGGCTGGGAGTTGAGGATTAACTTCAAAGAACACAGGGGAGCTTTTTGGGATATTAGAAATCTTTTGTATCTTAATTGTGATGGTGATTACATAAATGTATACATTTGTTAAAATGCACTGAAGTATATACTTAAAAGGGAACATTTTATTATATGTAAATTATACCTCAGAAAAGTTGAATATTAATATTTTTCACTAAGATCATCACTTACTCCTCAATCATCAGTCTGAAGTATTTAACCACCCTCTCCTTCCTGAAATACAGGTGGCATTGCCTCCTACATCTCCCAACAGTTTGGGTTTCCTTTGTTAGCCTCTCTTTCTTCTCTACTCATTAGAGGTAATCATCTCCCAATAATATAGTCTTACTTTCTAAGAGCTCACCTGTGCTCACAGTTCCCATTTTACTACTGATAACTCTCAAATTTCTATATTTAGCCCTGACATCCTTCCAGAACCCAGGAGCTGGATTTTTCTACTAGTAAACTCAACTCCTTATCTCCCAAATTGACTCTACATTGCTGTATTAAGCACCCAAGCTCATGATCTCAAAGTCATCCCTGTTTCCTCTTCCTTTCTAGATTGAACTTCCCCCATCCCTATTTCAGGTTAATTCTCAAGACTATCTGGTTCTCTTTCAAAATGTTCCTTGCATCTTCCCTTTAAACTTCCACTACTCTTCATTACCATATATCTAGATTGTTGTAACAGCCTTGTTACAAACCTCTTTGTAGTACCTCTGTACTTTTTTCTCCTTGCTACATAGCACTGCTAGAGTAATCTTCATAAGATATCACTTTCATTTTCTAATTTTTCTGTTCAAAACTCTTGTTTTCTCCTTTTGTCTACAGAAGAAAAATCCTAACATTAAAATGTCAGTAGTCTAGCCCCAACCAGTCTTTCCCTTAATTTTCTCTATGTAATCCTCAATACCCATTAAAATAATTAGCTCACTACTTCTGTGCTTTTTCCAATAGCATGCTCTCAGCCTTAAATGCCCCTCCCCCTCTACCTATCTAACTTCCAGCCGTTTTCAAAGCCATGTCTTTTGCTCTAGCTGAGGGTGACCTCTTCTGATTGGGAGCCAACTGGCACTGTTCATTTCCTGCCTGGCATTGCTTTTTATTTTTACTCATCAAACATTTATTTATTTGAGAGGCAGCAAGACATGTTCAAGAGCTTCAGCAAATTATTTAACTTCTCTATGATTCACTTTTGTTTAAAGGAGCATAGCGAATGTTGTGAAAAATAAATGAAATTATACATTAAGGTTTTTAGTACAATTTTTAGTACAATTCCTGGCATATAGTCATGCTCAAATATAGCTACTTAAAATGATGATGATGGTGATTTTTGAACACTAAGATGAACAGAATTCCTGTCCTTCAAGAGTTTTAATTTAATCTAAAAATATATTAACCTTCTCATTCGGATTCGTGACATTCTGGGCTTAGCAAATAACTTTTATAATAGGTATTTGTTTGACATCATTATGACTTAGGCTAGCAGCAGGGTTAGACCTAGGGGTCATAGTTGTAGAAGTTGTGCTGTCAGTTTAGCTTGTAATCTTTAAATTATTCAGAAATAGAAAAAGTCTGGGTCACCTGGCTGGCTCAGTCAGTGGAGCATGTGACTCTTGATTTCAGGGTCATAAGTTCAAGCCCCATATTGGGTGTAGAGATTACTTAAAAATAAAATCTTTAAAAAATATATAAAAAGTCAATAAAACAAGTCTGTCCATGCAATATTTAGGAAATATGTTTCTTATGCTTTGAAAATAATTGTATTTTATCTCCTGTAATAACCTTTTAATATCCAATGTAGGAAGGGTCTTTTTTTTTCCTCATTAAAGTTTAATCAATTTAGGACCAGGAGCTCCATCATCCATTCTAGATGACTTTCTTGAAGAATCTTCCAAACTGCAGTCTGACTCACGAGAACACATTTTACCCACACAATCTCAGGATCGAACTGTCACCCAAAAACCATCCAACATACTTATAAAGGAGATACCAGTGAAAAAAGGTACTTAGGAATAAAGATTTCCACTTGAAAGAAGGGCATAAACAAACTAGACAAGGATGAAAACTCTTATGATTACCAAAATGGCAATCTTAACTTGTTTAAAGTTGATTAGTGTGTCATATTGCCTAAGTTCCTTCATATGAGGCTAGGCTCTGATAATCCTAACTCAGTTGTGCAACCCTTTCAATAAGCAAGGATTTATATTTAGCTCAGAGAAGTGGCTAACTATAGACTTACGATTTTCTAACAATGATTCTTCATTTTTAGAATATCTACAGGTTGTGTTTCACATCCAGGAACCATTTAATTTGGTTGTAACTTGCATTTGGAACCACCAGTAGACTAACCTTGAGAACTTTTGAGATCTTTGGGGACCACTGATATAAAGGAATCTGTTGCTTTTCAGATTGTAACCTCTCTCATATATTAGATTAGAATACTCTCCTTGCTCATTGGTAGTAATGTAGCTCACTGTCTGAGCTTCTGACATTTTTTTCCCTTTAAATCTAATCATCTATTCTTTTAATAAAATGTTTTCAGAAACATCAAAATGTCAAGATTCATCAACCTTTTTGCATCCTAGCCCTCATGGTGTTTCCCAAACTCCTGCCACCATCTTCATGGAGACCATACGTTTCTTGATGAAAGTCAATGCTGTTCAGGTCAGAATATTTGGAAAAGGGCAAGTAGATGGAAAAATTTTAGTGAACTGCTTATTCAATCCATAGTGGTATCTTCCTAAGCTTTAATATGTATGATGAAGAAATCAAATATGCTTTTGAGAGCACACTATAGGTCTAATGGTGTGAACATCCAAATGTGAACCACTCTACAGAGAGCATCAGAACACCTCACTGCAAACTGCTCCCTCAGAATACCAGCAGAGCAAAATTGAACTCTAAAGGCTTATGTAGCCTGATGTCACAATAAAGTGACTCCTATTATGTGAGTGTTGGGGGTTCACAGGCACCTAATCATATCTTTCTTCCTTTCTAGGTTGTAAACAATTAGATACATGGTGCTATGTAGAGAATAAAAATATTAAATTTTTTTTTATCTGTATAACTGGGCTGGAGATGTGACTAGCCCCAGATTTGACTTACCCATACAGTCATAGGTAGAACTACTGGAGAATTTTCCCTACTGCCAGAGAAGAAGAGCATCCTGTGAGGTCTACCTACCACATGGGAAACAAGAAATATATCCATGAAGCAAGCAGTAGGAGAGAGAGTAAGATCCAGGAACCAGGAGAGTTGGCCCTGATCCTGCAGAGTGCATGTTCCACCTGAGGGTGGCAAGCTCAAGAAAGGGCAAGAATTATGACCTGGCTAGGAGTGGGCCACATTAAATAGGAACTTTTTTTTTAATTTAAATATATGAGTTTATAAATTCTCCAATCGTCCATGCTGAGTATTTTCCATAAATGAGAGCATTTCAGTTTTTAGTTTTGCTAATTGTGTTTAAGCTTGGTCATAACAAATGCAAAAACTTACTACATAAAAAAACCCCAATAATTTATAAACTTTGTTTCTTTAAGTGGCTAGTTCAATACATTGTAAATATTTCTTGATTAAAAACAAGACCTCTACTGTCAAACCTTATGCTGTTAACAATTTTTAATGTATGAAATCTAAATTCTGCCAATTATATATAATTAGATATATTTCTTAGATCAAAGTTGTGGCTAAACTCACTTTTAAAATTTAAGGTTCCAAGCAGTGGGGTTGGTTTTCTCAACTTTGAGCAGCCTTTTCTCCCAATAGGATGAATCCCTCCTATAACAACCTATGCAAATTTCATCCTAATATCACATTGTATTTTAATTACCAATTTTTCACTATCCCATTAGATTGGGGGCTCCTTCAAAGCCAGAGACGGTCTAATTTCTATTCAAGTGGTATCTATAATTACTGAATGTTAAATCTCCAAATATTCTATAATCTCATTTAAAATCCTCACATTCAAAGAAACTTCTACCAAAGCTTTGGTTTAGTTTGTGCCAAATCGTTCTTAAAATTTGTAGCTTTGAGGCATTTTATTATAAAAAGCTAGCACTTGTATACATAAACTAACAAGAACTTAAAATTCATCACACATTTACTTCATTTTTTAGCTTGACCTTCTAGTAAATCTTTAGCTTCATTGATTTTGGCTGCTATATAAGGAGATCCTCCCTTGTCTGGGTGGTTTAAAAGCATAATTCGTCGATGAGCATCTCTTATTTTTCCTTTATTGGCAGTAGGGCTTATGCCTAGTATTAATGCTGCTTCTCGTTTTGTCATTTTGGGTTCAAACCCACCTCTATAACAGCCACCACTGAAGGCAGATTTTGGTAGACTCTGAAAAACTTGTTTTACTTGCAGCTCCATATGTTTCATGGCTTGCAAAACATAACGGCCTGCAGATCCTGCAGCAGCAATGGTCAGTCCAACTGCTACCACTGTACTGGCCATGGCTCTGGCTCGGCTCCCCAGCCTCCACCGAGAGCACGGTTCATCCCAGCCCAAAGGCCGCAGCCACCAACTCCCACTCCTCTACCAGACACCGATGCGGCCACCACCAGCAGACACTAAACAGGAACTTTTAACACATTAACTTTTCCCAAAAGAGAAACATTTCTGTCTCCTGGATTAAATAAATCACTATCCCCACCTCCCCATGCAAAGAGCCAGAAATGTAGGTAGAGGGAACAGCTCCAGAACCTCCTTCCACTATTTTTCTAAGAAGGTATTAAGTGTTAATGGGAGTTTCTATAGTATAGGCTAAGATGGGAATGGAGGGAGAAGAAAAGTAGGGCTTCCCCCTCTGCTTAGCAAGTACAACTGACTTTGTTAAATTTGCAAGCCTTATATAGCATAAACAAAGAGTAGCCCAAAGTATAAAACTGGAGAACATAAATGAGAGTTTGTCAGAAACAAGAGTTTCTAAGATCCTGAGTCTAGAATTTCAGAAAGGGAGGTTTTGCCTCACTAAGTTTCCTCAATAATTACACCTGCCTGAATATGTTACCTCTTGTGTCAGTAGAGTGGTTGATGAAATGCTTTTGTCCGCCGCATAACATATACATGCAAAAACTCATCTAGTATGCTGACCAGCAAGACCAGAATTGTGCAGTACTGCAGATTTTTCACTTGGAAATGTCTACATTTGGTGACTAGGTGAATAGCTGGTAATGGAACCATGATGTGCTGAATCTTCATAATTCACCTCTAACCTTTTGAAGTTCATATAATTTCATTCTATAATATGTTTCTTATTCATTATTATCAGGGACATAATATTCAACTGCAAGAGCTATGGAACTGACACAATGCAGCTATTTATATATTCCTTATAATCTGGTTTTTCCTTGTAGTATGTGCACAGAGTGCTTGCACATGAGCTGTTATGCCCTCAAGGAGGCCCCAGCTGTGAGTATTACTTGGTGCTGGCCCAGACACACCTTCTCAAGAAGGACTTTGCCAAGGCAGAGGAATACCTTCAACATGCAGCCCAGATGGACTATCTGGTAATAACTTTTGCTAGAACCTCTTGAGTATAGTTTGGAGGACGGACAAGCAGCCTTTCTTAAAGGTTGTGATGCCATATCACAGGTAGATTTCTGGTTACCGGAGGTGGAGGTCATCAACTTATAGTAAACTCATCTATTTCCTTCCATCTGTTTTTCTCAAGCAGTTATGAGTTTTACAAAGAGCAGAGAAAAAGATAAGGCCAGCTTTTTAGCAGATAATTGATCTATTTCAAGTTTTCTGGACTTCTTCTATTTTCTTATTGTGAACATTCTCTTGGTTATGTTTGAATATTTTTCTTAATATTTACCCCAAAGACAAAATATTTTTGAAAAATGCCGGAAAGAAATGAGGGAGCAGACCTAGAAAAATACCAGTGCAACGGAATGGCCCTCTTTCTAATTGAGTGCTATTAGAAAAAGAAGAAGGACTTAGTCTAATTTTAAATGTTAAATAAAGATCATTAATGGACTTTTAAATACACCTCATCCCAGGTACTACTTGTTCTTTACTTTCTCAGAACCCTAATGTCTGGGGCGTGAAGGGCCATCTCTATTTTCTAAGTGGAAATCATGCTGAGGCCAAGGCATGCTATGAGCGAACCATTAGTTTTGTAGTGGATGCTTCTGAGATGCACTTCATCTTCCTGCGACTGGGGCACATCTATCTGGAAGAGAAAGAGGTGAGGGACAGAGGATGGAGAGTAACCATGTAAATAAATCAGGTCATGGTCTGGGACCCGAATACAGTTCAAACATTAACATCCATCACACAGTAATATGATATTGATACGTATTATGTACAATATTGATACATACAATACATACATATTACAGTAACACAGTAATATGATATTGATACTTTTATATTCCAAAGATAAAGTGATTTGACCAACACTAGATAAACTAGTAATTAATAGAAGCAGGATTCAAAACCAGGCAGTCTAACATTGGAGTCTGTGGTTTTAATCAGTATGATACTAAAAAGTTGTGTAGAACTCAATAAATGTTATTGTAGTTAATATTTAAGCTAACTTTCTTTTATTAGCAGTAGTAGAAACATTCTTACTTGACTTAACTAATGGAAAATGTCAAAAGAACTTCTTCAAACTTCTTCCTCAACGTAAAGGTTTATATTTAATCCAGCTAAGGCTAACCCCATTCCACAGGGAACTCTAACCTGACTCTTTAGCAATTACTCTCCATATTTTAGGAATCACCATATGACCTTCTAAAAGAAACTTTCTGTTATGGAAAATTTCAAATACATACAAAGTATAGGCACCTGGGTAGCTCAATCCGTTAAGCATCCAACTCTCTACCTCAGCTCAGGTCTTGATCTCAGGGTTGTGAGTTCAACCCCTGCACTGGGCTCCATGCTGGGCATGGAGCCTACTTAAAAAACAAAAAACAAAAAGAACCCCAAATACATACAAAGTAGACAGAATAGTAGAAATGAACCAACATGGACCCATCATCCTATATCAACAATTATCAACGTTCTGCCTTTTGACTTCGTGCTTTTGTTTTTACTTCATTCCATTTCTACCCCCAGAACACCCAATTATCTTTCTATTTAAAATAAAGGGATGTGTGGTGGCTTAGTCAGTTAAGTGTCTGCCTTCGGCTCAGGTCATGATCTCAGGTCCTGGGATAGAGTCCTGCATTGGACTCCTTGCTCAGTGTGGAGTCTGCTTCTCCCTTTCCCTCTGCCTGCTGCTCCCCCTGTTTGTGCCCTCTCTCTCTCTCTCTCAAGTAAATAAATAAAATCTTTATAAAATAAAACAACAGCAGCAACAAGAAGTTGCATTGCCTTATAATTTAAGTATGAAGGCCCATAGGCTTAAGAGCGAAAAATCACTATCCCATTGCAGTGAAGTATATAAGAAGTTTTCTTTCTGACATCATTGCAAGCTGCATCTGAACCAAGCTTCTGACATACATAGTCACTGGGCAAGCAATTTCACTAGGCAAGCAATTCTTCTATTTGCTGAGGCTTACGTATAGTTACATCTCTCATATTGGAGATGCAAGATAAGAAGTTGTCTAATTCGTTTGGAAGTTTGTTTTTTGAGTTTTTCTGAATGTTTCCTGTATTATTCAGCACTAAAAAGAGATAAGTTAGCAAACCATGAAGAAACATAAAGGAAGCTTAAATACATATTACTAAGTCAATGTAGTCAATCTGAGAAGGCTACATACTGTATGATTCCAACTGTATGACACTCTGGAAAAGGCATAACTATGGAGACAGTAAAGAGATCAGTGGTTTTGAGGGGTTGGGGAAGGGAAGTGATGAATAGATGGAGCACAGAGGGTTTTTAGGGCAGTGAAAATACTCTAATAATGGATACATGTCATTATACATTTATCCAAACCTATAGAATGTATAATACCAAATATGACCATGGACTTTAGGTAATGATGATGTATCAATGTAGTTTCATCAGTTGTCACAAAGGTACCACTCTGATGGGGGATGTTGATAATGGGAGAGAGTAAGCATGTGTGGCAGCAGGGGGTATATGAGAAATTGCTGTACTTTCCTCTCAATTTTGCTGTGAACCTAAAACTGCTCTAAAAAAACCTTGTGCCTTAAAAAAAAAAAAAAAAAACAGTTTAAGGGCTCATTTAACTTAGATTGGTCTTGAGTACAACTACAGAAGCCCCATGACTATCCTAGCAATATAGCATTTGAAACTTCCAGAAGAACAATAGCTTAGTGGTGCTTTCTTTCTACAGTATGAAAAGGCAAAGAAAACCTACCTGCAAGCCTGTAAGAGATCGCCTACATGCCTTACCTGGCTAGGACTGGGAATATCCTGTTATCGGGTAAGAGGATGAAGGCTCAAGACAGCCTGTGAATAGAGCTGACCTTGATTCCTTAGTCTTCCAAGCATCCTGGGAGTTTGTAATGATGGTGGGAAAAATTACTTTTCAAAGGTGTTCAGTAAACTAAACAGTCAATCTGTACTATAAAAATAAAACGTTCTTTAAAAATCCCACAAAAACCTGAACCAGGAAGCTATATAATAAAAATACTTCATGTTATTTGATACAGAAGCTCATAATTTTATGATGTTATCTATAAGGAAAAAGTGATACGATAAATGAAGAATCTACTCAAAGAAATTGATGCTTATTAAGCTCTGTGGCCCTTCTGTTTTCAGGAGGAGCTGCTATAGCTTCTGGGAGATCTTTTGCTCCCCACCCCTAAAAACTCTCTAGCCACCCTTTCCTCCTTTCTTACAGTCTTTGAAAGAGGCATGCAATGTGTTGTTCGTGTCCAATTTCCTCAATGTATTCTTGATGCTAACACTCTCATTTTCTCTTAATACCTTACTCTCTTAATTTTGCCTTTTTCTTTGAATTACATTTTTAACCTTTCCTTCACAATCAGGTCTTTCCCCATTCTTTCCCCCCTTCTTATTAAACAACAGTGGTAACAACCAAATGAGTTGCCTGTATTCCCTGTCTCCTCTTCCTTATCGCTGTTTTTTTTTTTTTAACCGTAAAGGTGATATATGTTCATTATAGAAAATTTGGAAGATAAAAATGTAAAGAAAACATAAAAGTATCCATTATCTAACCACTCAGTAGTAACCACTGTTAACATTTGAATGCATTTTCCTCCAGTCTTTTTCATACAAATATGAAAGCAATTTTAATGTATAAAACTGTAAATAATATATTTACTGCTTTTTAATCTTTTTTCTACTTAAACAGTATAGCATTGATATCTTCTTGCATCATCAAATAGTCTAAAACATGATTTCTGATGACTTCATTGTGTTCCCTGGTTTGGGTGTGTAAGTGAAATGACCATGTAATACTTCATACTAACCAGGACACTTCAGAGAATGGAAAGGGTGCTATTAATAATTACACTGGGACACAGGGACTGTCTCCGGCCAACTGGGACATATGATAATTTATACATAAGCTATGTGCTCCCCTGTTCCACCTTCCCAGAAAGAATATAAAACATTTATAGCTGTTAGAAAACTGACAGCACTGTCAAAAGTACAAGAAACTAGCTATACAGACTATTCAACGTAAGTCATGCTTCTATTTGTTTTGAATAGAAGAAAAATAAACAATATTTTCATTGGGATAGAAACTAAAACAAAACAAAACAAAAACCTTGAGTCAAGCTCGACCACTAAGATGTCCAAGTAATCCCTGCTCCCCGTCGATATTTTAGTCATACTATACCTATGTGTGGATATTCATAATTTATTTGACCAATCACTCTTATTGGGCATGTTGTTAGTTTCTACAGTTATACTACTATAGATGAAGCTGAGATAAACATTCTTGGACATAAATCTCTGTGCTTAATTATTTTTATTTCCTTAGGATACATCCTTAAAGAATGTAGAAAAATTTAAAAGTCTTTAAATTATAGTGTCAATTTGCCTTCTAGAAAGGCTGTATACTGACTTATACTCTGCCAGGAGGTATGAGAGCACATTTCACTGTTACCTCATCAACAGTGGCCATTATCATTTGCCAACTTGATAGGTACCTTAATTTGTATTTTCATCACTAATGAGGTTGAAATATGTGATACACATATCTCTTTACTTGTGAATTATCTGCTCATACCCCAGGTCCCATTTACCTTTCACTTCATTGCTATCAGGCTTACTACTTTACCACTTTACCCTTACCACCTTACTGACACTTCTGACAGAAGTTCCCTTAATATCCTAATCGCTAAATGCCATAGACACTTAGATGAATTTCTGGCACTTAACCCTGTTAACTACTTTCTTCCTGAAGCCCTTTGCTCCCTTGACTTCCACAATACTTCATTCACATCCTTCCAGTTCTATGCCTTCTTCTCTGGTACCTCTTTCTCAGCCTTTTTTGCTGGCTCCTACCCTTTTACCTACCATAATTGTTGGGTCCTCCCAGGTCAGCCCTCTTCTACTGTCACTGTATTTATTCACTCTCAGAAAAAAATACACCTACCCCAGTGGCCTAAACTACCACTTGTGCCCTAATGAATTCTAAACCTTTAATGCATAACACTTTTCAAGTTCTGACCCTTATATTAAACAGTGTAATGGACAGCTCCATTTTCATGGTTCCCTAGATACCTTAAAATGTGCATAACTGAAATATAACCTAACTTAAGCCTGAAGGATTCTCACATTCCTTAAGCCTACAATTTGTGTATTTTTTTGTTAAATAACTTTAATAAAGCCTACACCTTCTCCTGTATTCCGTGTCTTGGTGAATGGGACTGTAATGAACCTTATCAACCAAGACAGAAACTTAAAAAGTATCCTAGTCTACTTCTCCTGTTACTTTTAATTAGGCATCAAATATCCTATTGATATTGTCTCCTAAATGTCTCTTGAGTCTATAGTCTCCTCTCCATCCCTATTTTTATAGCTCCAATTCAAGCCTCATCCCTTCTCTATCTGCTAGCATGATCTCCTGTCCTACCTTAATCTAACATCTCCCACATTGTTATCAAAGTGGTCTTTAAAATATGCAAATACTGTGTTACTCCCCTACTTAAACTCTTCAGTGGCTACCCCTTGTTTCAGAATAAAATTCACATTCCTTTGAATGAATGTATATGACCTGATGCCTAACTCTTTAGTTTTATCACTTACTTTATTTTCCCTAATCTCTCTCTTTTCTCCAGCCCACATGCATACTTAAGAGCTTCCTGACCACATCACACTCTTATGCCTCCATGCCTTCATATATGATATTCCTTTTACCAGGAATGCTTTTCTTCACCTTGTATAGCTAATATACTCCTATTTATCCTTCAGGACTCACTTTAGTAGTATTTCCTCTTGGATGCTATCCTTTAATTCCAGGGTACAATTATTCCCATTTTCCTATGTCCCTCCCCTAGATCTATATATGCTTTTATTATAGAAATGTTTATTGTGTAGTGGAACTATTTATGTGTTTGTGTTTTCTTTCTCTTTTTCTTTTTTTTTTTTTTTTACATATCTGTCAGTGAACTCTTTGAGAGATTGTATTTTATCTTTTTATTCACAGTATGGAATAAATCCTTAGCAAGTAAAACTGATTGAATACTGATTGAATGATATTGGTTGAATAATACTGGTTGAATAATGAATCAATACATTGATTGAATATTGAATCAATATCTTAGAGACATTTAAAACATGGACCAAAGTATGGGCATTGCTGAAAGGCCACTCTTCATATTGTTTCAGGCCTAGAAACCCATAATTTTCTTTTCAAAACAGAAAAAATGGAGAGCTACTATACTGGTGAGAGGAGTGCCTTATTTCTTCCTTAGGTGATCTTTTGGAAGATTTTACAAAGCAAACTCACTTTTAGGAAATAGCAATGATATCCATGTGTCCAGAGCTCAGGGAACATTCTAGAGCCTGAATATTGTATTGATTGCTCAAGATCTTGCTATTAATAACTAATATTAGTATTTTGACAGGCTAATAGGACTTTAACCTTAGGAAAGGGATGCACAGGGGTGCCTGGGTGGCTCAGATGGCTAAGCGTCTGCCTTTGGCTCAGGTCATGATCCCAGGGTCCTGGGTTCGAGCCCCACGTCAGGCTCCCTGCTTGGCAGGGAGCCTGCTTCTTCCTCTCCCTCTACTGTTCCCTCTACTGTGCTCTCCCGCTCTGTCAAAAAAACAAATAAATAAAAATAAATAAATAAATAGAAAGAAAGAAAGGGATGTTATTTGGACATAGTGTTTTCAGCTAAACTGACAACAAATATATCTGACAGCCTACTGTGTATGGGGAAATCACTGAACGATGCACGCACAGTAGTGAATACTTCTGGTTTTCCAATCCTGGCACCTGAAGCTCCATGGTTCATGGATGCCCTAATGGAACTGCTGTAGAGAGAAGGAGGAAGAGAGGGGTGTAAGTTGAGAGCCTAGCAGGCAGGACTCCAGATTTCTCTACTTGGCTTTTTAATCCGAGCAGTTCTTCTTTTAACAGGTTCATATATTGGGCTACCACATAAAATTTTGTTTGAAGAAAAAGTTCTGAGCTAAAAATTTAAAAAGTTGAAAACTGTATAGGTCACATTACCAATGTTATTTGGACATAATGTTTTCAGCTAAACTGACTCCAGCTGGCTTAAGGGAAAACTGCTCTGACTTAACTCACACTTTTCTCTTTCTATCAAGCTGGAGGAGCTCACAGAGGCTGAGGATGCTCTCTCTGAAGCCAATGCATTGAACAACTACAATGCTGAAGTATGGGCATATCTGGCTCTGGTCAGCCTGAAAGTGAGTGTTTATTAACCTTACACAGTGCCCTTTTAGGGCAAAGATGTGAGGAAGTGAGGCAAGAGATAGGTAGGTGGCGATTAATGCATGATAGTTGAGGTTTAATGAGCTTCAGATTTGGTCATTATACTGACGAGGAAGGAGAGGCCCAGTCTGAGAAGCTGCTACTTGGAATGTGCTCAAAAATCACTCACGTGTTTGTCTGGAAAGGAGATTCTAGGGATGCCTGAATGGCTCAGTTGGTTAAGCATCTGCCTTTGGTTCAGGTCATGATCCCAGGATCCTGGGATCGAGTCCCACATAGGGCTCCTTGCTCAGCAGGGAGCCTGCTTCTCCCTCTGCCTGCTGCTCCCCCTGCTTGTGCTGTCAAATAAATAAATACAAATCTTAAAAAAAAACTTAAAAAAAAGAAGGTATGGAGTCCTCTCTTTTGGTAGAAATGGTTGTGGCAACGTACTTTCCCACTATAATGTTTATAATATGTCATTATCACCAGGTGCTGCTCTTTTTTTCAGGCTGGACGGCAACTGGAAGCGGAGCAGGCCTATAAGTACACAATGAAGGTACGATGCAGAGGCCTCTGCTGTTTGTACTGTACTGAGGTTGGGAAACTGGGAAGAAGATGCTGGCTGAATTCAGGACTTTACAGCATTCCATCATTTCATGATGTGAATATTTTTCTAAAGGTTTTTCTTATCATCTTTGCCATTATCATAGGGCTGCTGGGTTTGGAATAACCCACATATTACTATGGGGGATTTTTTTCTACCTCTTTTTTTTTTTAAGATTTTATTTATTTGAGAGAGAGAGAGCACAAGCTGGGGGTGGAGGGCAGAGGGAAGTGGAGAAGCAGGCTCCCTGCTGAGCAGGAAGCCCCATGTAGGGCTCAATCCCAGGACCCCGGGATCATGCCTGGAGCCAAAGGCAGACACCCAACCAACCAAGCCACCCAGGCGCACCAACCCCCCTTTTTAAGATTTTATTTATTTATTTGAGAGAGAGAGCAGAGGTAGAGAGAGAACACGAGTGTGTGTTGGGGGGCGGGGGGTTTCCTACCTCTTTAGAGATTTTGGTTTAATGGTAAGACAGATGGCCAGGGAGTCAGTAGACCTGAATTATGGTCCTAGTTTTGCCACTAACTCTACTGTGTTAACTTCTTTGAGCCTCATTTTCCTCACTTGTAGACTGAAGGTATAGGTCAACAAACTTTGTGTAAAGGGCAAAATAATATTTTAGGCTTTGTGGGCCAAACTGTCTCTGTCTATTACCCTCTGCCCTTGTAGTGCAAAAGGAGCCATAGACAATACATAAACAAATGAGCATGGTTGTGTTTCAAATAAAACTTTACTTAACAAAAACAGCAAGCTAGATTTGGCTCATGAACAGTAATCTGCCAACCCCTGGTCTATTCTACTATGAATTACAGTTCTTAATTTGTGGCTTAAACAAATTAGTTTTATTTTTCTCATCTAATGAAAAGCCCAAGGCTGGTACTAGAGCTCCACCATGTCACCAGAGACCCAAACTCTATCTTTCTGTTCCACCAATCATAGCATGCAGTTCCCATCCTTCATAGTTGCAAGACAGGCATGGTAGCTCAAACCACCATATACATGTTTCAGGCACAATAAAGAACAAAAGGGAGGAAAGAACAAAGAGGACATGCTAGCTATTTCACCTCCCTTTAAGAAGCAATGACTTTATAGGGATAAAAGATATAGCATAGGGAATATGGCCAATGGTATTGTAATAGTGTTGTGTAGTGACAGATGGTAGCTATACTTGTGAGCACAGCGTAATGTACAGACTTAAGATCACTACGTTGTACACCTGAAACATGGTGTGTCTACTCATGAAAAATAAAGATGTTTAATTCACATGTACATAGTATTTGATGATAAAATCATTTCCAGAGGAAGGTTTACATTTCATTGGCCACAATTGGTCATAAGACTACCCCTAGCTCTAAGGGAAGAAGGAAATGGAGTTTTTTTGCTGGCTGCATTCCTGCCCTGAAAAGAAATGAAGACTTTGTTACAAAGAAAGGAGAGTGCGTATTCAGTAGGCAACTAGCTACCTCTACTACACATCTAGAGGCTAAAAATAAATTCAGATCTAATATCTTTGTTTTGTGTGTCTTTGATTCCTGTGACTTGACGAACTGAAATACTGTAGTCAAGACAGACTGGGTGATAATGTGAATTCTTTTAAAAACACTTTATTAAAGTTATTTAACAAAAAAATACACAAATTGTAAATGTTCATACTACTTGAAATTTCATAAAGTGAACATGTCCATGTAATCAGCACAACGTTCTGAGATCTTTTAACGGAGTTACCATGAAATAGGGAATGAATAGGGAATATAAGAAGAGCCCAGTTTCAAGCCAAGGAACTATATTCTTTAACTGTGTCCCAGTAAATGAGGGTCTCCACATAGGTATATCAGGTATGATATGTATGCGCTCCTTCCTTCTTCTTATGCAGCTGAAACTAAAAGATAAGGCTCTGCTTGCAGAGATCCACATGGTACAGGAGACGGTTGGCTTTGGAAATCCATCTTTCTGACATCCTTCCAGCTGAAGAATATTCTGTGTGGGACTCTGAGCTCCTTTCCTTCCCAGAGAGATTAAGCCCTGGACATTTCACCATATGAGGCCTGGGGATGGAAAATACCATAAACAGAAACCCATTCATTTATTTCCATTGGCTATTTTACTGGATGGCTGTTACTGGATATTTTACAGGTTGACAGTAAACTGAATGACAATAAAAAATGAAAAAGATTCAAAATTCATCAGTGTGGTTCTGGAGTTAATTAAGGTCTACTGAGGTATATGTAAGAATATAATTATTTATTTACATAATTAAAGTAAAGTGGGTTATTATGGTTTCTGGTAAAAACTTATCAAGTCATTCCTGGAAGTCAACTGCTAAGGTCTCTGGCTAGTTTCACTTCCTGGAACTTGAGAATTAAGGCATCAATTTCTAAGGTGGGCCTAAAGGAAGACTGCTATGCTGGGTCACTGTATTAGGACAAACATATTAGGTGTGGCCAGACCCTCTAGATCCAGCGGTGAACAGAGCTGAACAGAGAAGTCTTTGCTGAAGGTGGAGGTACTGACTACCTCTAACCACGGGTATCTTCATGGATCTAAATCACAAGGGCTCCAAGAAGAGTCCATTAACTTATAATAGATGCAAAACTCCTCTCAACTGAGGCCAGTATTCTAGGGCTAAAGATGACAAAGGAACCATACTTCACTCCTGTCCTCCTGGATCACTCCATAGCAAAACTAGGACTAAAGACTCCTCTTAATTTTTTAAAGAGGGTGCAGAGAATAGGAGGGAGGCGGGAGAACAGGAGGGAATATGGAGGCATATTAATAAACAAGAAGAATAAAATAAAACCTACGTTCATTTATAGTCCGTGTATAGTCTTGGTTCTAACGCTACTTCCTTTATGAAGTCTTCCTGAGGCACCGAGCAAGTATCAGGTTCACCTTGTCCTCTGCTCCCCCAGGACTGTGTAGTGACCACCTTTACTGACTCCAGTGTAAACTCAGCGTCTCCCCACTTGACTGTGAGCTTCCTAGGGGCAGCACAGCTCCCTTTCAGCTAGTTTTCAGCACTGCGCTTCGGCTCTAACAGGTGCAGGATGGATTTGTGCAACACTTAAGCACTTCTGGCCGCTCCCTGGGATTCTCCCAATATTCCTCACTTCGTCAGAAACCCACAGTCCAGAGCAGGCGGAGAACACCCACACAGTCCGGATCGCACTAGGACCCCCAGCTACACGCAAACTGCAGCGCGCCTTTTTTGCGGCAGTTTAAGGTACGTTAGGGTTCACGGCGTTGCATTGTGGGAAGTGTAGGTGCGGGAAAGCGGAAGGGCCGGGGCGGGCGGAGTCGTCGCTTCCTGCACCGGGGCGCTAGGGCTTGGGTGGACGGGTGGTGAGGTCAGGGGTGTCGCAGTGGACTTCTCCGCGTTCTTCCTCCGCACCCCCCCTCCCCCGCCGCCCTCCCCGCCGAGGCCGTAGAGCTGATCGGTGGCGGGCGGCAGCGCCCTGGGAGGCGTGGCAAGTGGCGCGCAGGCCGGCTGCACCATGGTCCAGCTCAGTGAGTGCTCTTCCGGGCGGTCGCGAGAGACGGTGGGGGGGCGTGTGGGACCCGATGAAGCAGCTCTCCTAGGCGAGCTGGAGGCAACCCGAACCTGAAACAACCACACTGCCTTACGTTTGTCCCTCTCCTCAGGTTTTTCTCACTTAATCCTTCCTCGATTTATGAGACAAATGGCATTCGGTTTATAGACTAGGCAGCTGAGGCTCGGTCGTGGTCACAGACGTATTAAATGGCAGGCTGGTGTTGAGCGGATTGAGGAGGTAGTCATTTCTGGCTGAAGTGCATGAGAGGAGTTTCTCGAAGAATATACTATCTAAACCGGGTTGACAGTGATTGATTGGATGTAAGGATGTTTCAGTTGAGGAAGGGGCTTGGTTTATGTACCTCATTTTGCCCATTTTATGTACTCGGTTCTTGTGTGTTAACTTACTTCTCTACAGCTACTGTCCTGTGCAAAGCCTACCGCGGAGGCCATTTAACCATCCGCCTTGCCCTGAGTGGCTGTACCAACCGGCCTTTCTACCGCATTGTGGCTGCTCACAACAAGTGTCCCAGGGATGGCCGTTTCGTGGAGCAGCTGGGCTCCTATGATCCACTGCCCAACAGTCACGGAGAGAAAATCGTTGCTCTCAACCTAGACCGGATCCGGCATTGGATCGGCTGTGGGGCCCACCTCTCTAAGCCTGTGGAGAAGCTTCTGGGTAACTCAGCTCTAGCCTTACTTCGTTGAGGGGATTTTAAGGTGAAGTCAGTTTCAGGATGATAAGACTTAAGAATGATTTTCATTACCTTAGGCTGCTCAGGGCTAGAGTGAAAGCTGAAGTTGTGATCTAATTGTCATTTTGACTGGAGACCCCTATTGTGGACTCTTTTATGAGACTTTATGGGTGAATGGGATTTTGTACTGAAAATAGGAATAGTGTGTCTTGAATGGCTATCTGTCCATTTATCTTTCTTTTTTTTTTTTTAAGACTTTATTTATTTGACAGAGACAGAGCGAGAGAGGGAACACAAGCAGGGGGAGTGGGAGAGGGAGAAGCAGGCTTCCCGCTGAGCAGGGAGCCCGACGTGGGGCTCGATCCCAGGACCCTGGGATCATGACCTGAGCCGAAGGCAGATGCTTAACGACTGAGCCACCCAGTCGCCCCTATCTTTTTTTCAAATAAGGGCATTAGCTTTAGGAAGTAACGTCCATTATCTCCTTGTAGTAAATGAAGGGGAGGGACTTAGGGGAAGAGATATGACAGTTTGGTGAAAGAGGAGCATGTTTTAAATCCATGCTTTAAGTCAGGTCTCTGTTAGACCTCAGCTCTGTGAGGCTAAGTTCCCAGGGAAACATTGGCTTATATCATGTTATAATGAATGAAAATCCTGTTGCTTTTAGGTCTTTCTGGCTTTTTCCCTCTGCATCCCATGATGATCACAAATGCTGAGAGGCTGCGAAGGAAACGGGCACGCGAAGTCCTCTTAGCATCTCAGAAAACAGATACAGAGGCTACAGAAACAAAAATGAGCTGACTTCAGTGAGCAGAGCATTGGGGGAAAGGTCAACACTTAAAACACTTGTTCAGAGCTCTTAGTTTTATTAGATTTGGAGGTTAATAAATGGAGTTTCCTGAGTCACCCATGCTCTTCTGGCCTGTCCTGAACTGGACTCAGGGAGAAATTTGTTCTTTCTGATGTAGAGCTGGGTCTAGGTACTGATTAGCTTTTTTAGCCTTCATCTGGAAAAGACAGTAGCTCTGGGGTGTGTTGGATTTTGGGTTGGGCCCTGGATCTCTCAGACAACTTTACAGTCTGCTGCCTTCCAATACTTCCCTGTTTGAAAGCCCCCAGCAAGTCTATCCATGGTCCATCTGTGAAGTTCCTTCCTTAGTCATCCCACTAGCTCAAGAACACAGTTACTTTGCTTTGCTTGCTTGCTTGCTTAATGTATGTATATATGTCATTGTAGAGTTACTTTGTCTTGTTTGACCCATAATATCAAATTTACAAAGGTAGATTTTTTTTAATGAACTTTTAGGCTATAATAGCATACTTTTTAAGAATGAGAAACTGGAAGAAAGGTAATACTGAAGAGTATGTTCATACATTCTTGACCCTTTACAAATAAGGCTATTCGTGAGGATTATTAGGTGTCATGAAAGTGGGTAAAACTCCATTTTATTGATGGGAGGCTGAGGTTCAGATGTGGAAACTTGCCCAACGCCATCTGTTTTCATTTGGGCAGAGCTAAGGTTCAGACCCCAATATGCATACCTGGAGAGCCCTTTCCATTGTCTGCGGCAGGGTGGGTGTGAGATGAGCAAAGATGAGGAGCTTTTCAGAAGTCCACTTAAAAAGCCAGTGATAGAAATGAGGTTTAGGTGTCATGAGTTTGGTAATATAAATGACTGGCTGTGCCCCAAGTCCAAAATGTCATATCTGCCTCACCAGAACTGCAGGACAAAAACAATCATGATCAGAGGATTTTAGTGCACACTCTGGGTAATACAATTTCAAATCTGGCATAAGACTAGGATATAGAGTTTATAGAGGGACACTAAAGCCCTATCAGTGTACCAACTTACTTTGTTTTCTGGGTTTTATATATTGAGAACAACCCTCATTATGGGGTCAAGTCTCTCCCAAGGTTGTCACTGGTTGGCCTCCCTTGCTTTGAGGGGATTTTGAAGGCAGGGCGGGCTGAGAAGAACTGACTACCTGGATTAGATTGTGGATCTGATCATGGATCTGGGAAAGAAAAATGCTATGAAAACCATGGGAACTCTGGAAGTTAAAGATGATAATATACTCTGGAGAGTTTAAGGTCTTTGGATAAGCTTTAATTGGTAGAGCAAAGAAGAATGATTATGAAAAGTATTGACCAGTAAAGGGAACTGCTGGGAAATGGGTTAAGGTAAGGTATTATTTTGAGCTATTGAGTTTCTGCCAACTCAAGTATTCACTTTGTTCCCTGGTCTATCCTTACTCTGTGATCTGTGTACACATGCTTCCTGTGTGAGTGCATCCTGTTCCTGATAATCCAGTTTTCTCTAGCTCTAGCCTTGCTCTAGATTTCCTGACACAGTTTCTCACCATCTCTTAGTTGATAGCATTAGTTTATGTTGCTATCATCTCAAATCCAACATGCTCAAACCTAGCTCTTCATTAAAAAAAAAAAAAAAAGCCTTTGCTTCAGCAGCTTTATTTTTACTCAGATGAGGGTTTGGACCATGTCATCTTAACCAAAGTGAAAGGTGATTAAGAACTGGAAGATGATCGGGCTCCCTGCCCGGCAGGGAGTCTGCTTCTCCCTCTGACCCTCCTCCCTCTCATGCTCTCTGTCTCTCATTCTCTCTCTCAAATAAATAAAAAAATTAAAAAAAAAAAAAAGAACTGGAAGATGATTGGGAATGATTCTGTAATAAATGTTACAGTTTTTAAAAGATCAGTATTTTGCGCCTTTGTTTACGCTTTTTTTTTGCAGGAATTAGGAAAGTACTTACCTAGGAGTCCCAACCTGTAGGTTGCAAAATTATCGGATCTTAGAGTTTTGTGTACTCTTGTCAGGATCATTGAAAAAGAACAAATCTATTTAACGATGTTGAACCATGTGAAATCGCCAAATGCCGATGTTATGCTGTTTTTTACTTTAAAAAAAAGGCAAAACAGCAATGTATAGCCTCGACGTAATATGGACCTGACATATATTGAATGAACTTATGCACTGGGAAACTGGTGAGAAGATAAGTGCCAGATTTTTTGAGTAAGGGGAGGAGGGCGTCCTGGCACCGGATCCCCCGCTAACCACACACAAGGAAGTTCTCGCGGTTGCTCGGGTCTCCGCTTAAGTTCTGGCCACGCCCTCGTTTTGCAGCCGCCGTAAAGTGCGACGTCGTGGCCACGCCTATTCGGCGCTTCTTGTGACGCAGTCGCACAGGGTATTTTTGCGCGGGAAAAGGGGGCAGTCTGGAGCTCTAGCCGGTGTCGCTGGGACGGGCGGTTTCTGCGGAGGTTGCCTCTCGCTCCCTATCCCTGCTGGCTATGGGGTTGCTGGAGCTGTGCGAGGAAGTGTTCGGTACCGCCGACCTTTACCGAGTGTTGGGCGTGCGGCGCGAGGCCTCGGACGGCGAGGTCCGACGCGGCTACCACAAGGTGTCTCTGCGGGTGCACCCGGACCGGGTCGGCGACGACGACAAAGAGGACGCCACCCGCCGCTTCCAGGTACGCGAGCCCCAGCTCCACTGGCCGCCTGGGTTTCTCTCGATCATCTGGCCGCCAGGCCCCGCCTAGGCGGAGTGCGCCGAACCTGGCCTGGTGTTTTCTAATCTTTATTTCTCGCAGCGCGGTTTCAGTGAGGGAGGCAAAGGTGACTTTTGGATGCTTTTAACCCGCAGATCCTCGGGAAAGTCTATTCTGTTTTGAGCGACAAAGAACAGAGAGCATTGTACGATGAGCAGGGAACAGTGGACGAAGATTCTGATGTGCTCAACCAAGATCGGGACTGGGAGACGTATTGGAGGTTACTTTTTAAAAAGGTAGAGGACTCTGGAAATTTCTTTGTGATTATTCCCGTTATTCATTCAAGAAACGTTTATTGAATGCCTTCAAGGTATTGCATTTTGTGTTGTGTAGGAATGAGGAATTTGTTCATCTTAAAATGACATACGGGGAAGTATTCCTTGGGAGATAACCTACAGCTAGCTTTGAAGAAGAATAAGTCTGTTTAACCGTTAAACATACACACATACTTTTACTGAAATGGGTCTTTAATTTCCTGTTGATGTAAAGCGATTGTAGGGGAACAGGTGGTTTAATATTTTATAAGGTAATGCTTCATTTTACATATCCACCTGTAAGTCTTGAGTTCTTCTGGGAAACTTCCCTTAAATTTTCCAGGTCTGTAGTTTAGTAGTTGTGAAGGTTGGGAGAACGCTGGAAAAGCTTTGGCATAGAAAGTGTGGCTCCTTGCAGTAATTTCAACTCAAGCAACTATTGTATTTGGGAAGAAACATTTCAACACCTACATCTGTCTTTACTAGTATACTTTTTATTTAAAATTTTCAGAGTTATAGCATATGTCTCTTATTCAGATATCTCTAGAAGACATTCAAGCTTTTGAAAAGACATACAAAGGTTCTGAAGAAGAGCTGGCGGATATTAAACAGGCCTATTTGGATTTCAAGGGTGACATAGATCAGATCATGGAGTCTGTGCTGTGTGTGCAGTACACAGAAGAACCCAGGATAAGGAACATTATTCAGCAAGCCATTGATGCTGGCGAGATCCCATCCTATAATGCCTTTGTCAAAGAATCGAAGCAAAAGATGAATGCAAGGAAAAGGAGGGTAAGATTTTGAATGCTTTTTTTATATCTTGCATTTTGAATGCTTTTTTTTGTATGTTAATTGCTTCCAAAAAGAATGTGAGGGTATTTACAATAATAAAAATATGATTACCGAGAAGAGAGTAAGGGTTAACTCATTTCTAATAAAATGAGCATACCAGCTCATTAAGAGAAACTTTTTTTCCCTATTATGTTGTGCTCAAGGATTTTGCTAGGTGGATTGTTTAATATCATCTTAAAATAACACTGAAATACTCTTTACATGGGCCAGTTCTTTAGCTTTGTCAAGGCTTTCCTCAAGAAATAAAGTAATGGAGCCCAGATACATAGGGTGGACAGTGGTTCTCACTTGGTTAAGAGATGGGGAGAGGGTGACTAAAACTTTCTTTTTTTGGACTGTGCCTTGTTAATACAGATTTTTCTTTTGTTCTTGTCCAGATTGATTCTTGAATTGGACCCAGAATACACATTTCTAAACAAATGGTTTAGTTTATTTTGGTGAAAGTGTCTTCCCAAACACACTTGGAGAGGAACACTTGTGAATAATCAAGAATTGTGGCTTCTGTATCTTATTAAACTGTGGAGTTGGTGAGGGTAGGGATGATGGCAGGGAAAAAGAGCTTAAGGACAGACAGCTGAAGGTCTGGGAGGGAGTGGATTCACAGCAAGCATCTGTTTCTCTGGTCTTTTGGGGAAGACCAGACTGGTACTCAAGTAACCATTGCCTCAACCTGGCTTTCCTAGTGGGAGCTCAGTGGAGAGCAGTGTAAGATTTTAGATGTCTGGTGGGTACCTGAGGTGGGTGCCTTATTTTCTATGGCTGAATTGGAGGTGGAGGTAGGTCTGCAGTTTTGATACAAGATACAGGGGAAAGCTGGGTGGGGTGGGGGGGGTGTGTGTGGCAAAGTGGAATGTGTATCAAGATGATCATTTTGAGGGTGTGCATGGCTGACTCAGTAGAGCATGTGACTCTTAATCTCAGGGTTATGAGTTAAAGCCCCACATTGGGCATGGAGCCTACTTTAAACAAAAAAGTCATTTTGGCTCATAGGGCACATCTGTTTAGGCCCACTCTTACAGTTTAAGTTGGTAATCATTTTCTCCAGTGAACTGAGCACAGCTGTATCCATTAATAGGCTATTAGCTTGAGAAACTTTCCTAGAGTTGGGGGCAGGTGGATGGCATAGTTTTTAGCGACTCTAGCAAACCTGGGGAGTGGGTATACAGTATTAAATTGAATACAAGGACTGAAAGTAGACAATGGAAACACTTTTTATTGGAATAACAAAATTCTAATGTATTAGTACTCCTAGCATTAATAGTATTCATTGCTATTCAGAAAATTTAGTGGGGTTTGGGATCTATTATATAGTGTTGGTGCCCTGAAAGAAAGAACAAAGTCATTAACCTTTCCCAAGGTGTGCTTGTGGTATTTTGGAATCAGTGCCCTAGGAAAATTTGGCAGAAGAAGGTGGCTTTGAAATTAGGTAAAGAAAGGTTATAACTGAATTTGTTAGTGTTTATTCTGACTACTTGGGAATTTTATTTTTTATTTTTTTATTTTTTTTAAAGATTTTATTTGAGAGAGAGAGAATGAGAGAGAGCATGAGAGGGAGGAGGGTCAGAGGGAGAAGCAGACTCCCTGCTGAGCAGGGAGCCCGATGTGGGACTTGATCCCAGGACTCCAGGATCATGACCTGAGCCGAAGGCAGTCGCTTAACCAACTGAGCCACCCAGGCGCCCTACTTGGGAATTTTAAACCAGGGTTACTCTCAAGGCTGCCACCAGTCACATGTAGTTAAAGAGTGGGTTTCCAGAGGAGAGGAATTTGAGATGCCTGTATCCTGGCAACAGTTTTGAAGGCATCCTTGGTTAAATGACCTTCCCTCTCCTAGCATTTTGTTTTCATTCTTATCACCATGTGGTTTATGAATACTAAACTACTTGCTACCCCTAGCTAGTAAAAATGGGGAAAACTCAGAAATGCTCATTGGAATCAGAGGATCTACTGCATGCTCTCAGCAGTGTTGTCTTTTAATGAATGACATATTTATGTAATTGTGGTTTGTTGTTGTTTTTTTTAATCTATATAATCCTCAGATTGAAAGGTTCTTACCATAGATTTGCTTTTGGGAAAGGGTATATTTTTAGTATATGCTAGGTTGCCATGGAGTCTAACATGAGTTTCTGTTTTAGGCTCAGGAAGAGGCTAAAGAAGCAGAAATAAGCAGGAAGGAGTTGGGCCTTGACGAAGGAGTAAACTTGAAAGCAGTCATTCAGGTAAGCTTGGCAGGTTTTCTTTGAAGGTTGTCACTACTTCTTTTGTGTTCTGATTCCTACTGCTAATACTTTCTTTATAGTGTATAGTGTTGTGGGTATTTTGTTTTCTTTTTTTAAGACATAAGTCATGTACTATGTTTTCATCCCTTTAAAGTGCATAATTTAGTGGCTTTTAGCATTTTCATGAGGTTGTAGAACAGCACTAATTCCAGAACATTTTTGTCACCTTAAAAAGAAACCCCTTGCTCATTAGCAGTCATTCCCTGTTCTCCCTTCCACCAGCCTCTGGCAACCACTGAGTATTTTTGTCTCTGGATAGCCTTGTGTTTTGAAAGCTTGTGTTTTAACTTCTTAAACAGAGCAGACAAAAGGATCGGCAAAAAGAAATGGACAATTTTCTGGCTCAAATGGAAGCAAAGTACTGCAAACCTTCTAAACGAGGAGGGAAAAAAACGCCTCTCAAGAAAGAAAAGAAATAATGGAATTTTCTCTTCAAAAGACTTTAGGTGTTAATTGGTGCCATCGTAGGCAAGATACAGTCAAGATTTGAAGACAAAAGTCAACCCTCCCTTGAAAAAAGTTGTCTTTCCAGGCTCAATTATTCAGCTCAGTTCTGTAAACCAAGCAGAATCTCTCAACCTGATTTTCGTAGTCTTAGAAATCCCCTGACATTCTTTGAGGTCCTGCATGAAGGAATTTGGTGATTTTTGAGGGAATGGAGGAGAGTGGTATACTTCCTGGCAGTGCTTGTGTCTGTGGATCTTCTGTACAAGGAACTCTTATCTGGGATGTGGGTCTGTCCCATACTGCCTTCAGCAGTTGTTGTTTTGCCACGCGGGAGTGTGTGCACAGCTCTGGAGTATTCAGAGTGTTGTGTTTATTAGAACAGTAACTCTACCTAGCTAGAACGCTTTCAGAGCCCTTGCTGGACATGTGTCTTTCAAATATTTGCCAGTTTGCTTTCATTTTAATCTTGAATAGATCCTCTCTCCTTTTGTTTTATTCAGCCAGGTTTTGTACTCTTTGTTTGAAATATAGGAGAAACAGATGTTGAGATTACTTCAGACATCTTTGTAAGACTCACACATGATGAAATAAACAAGTTAAAAATGACTGTTAAGTTCTGGGGCCTTTTAAATGATCTCAGTGATCATTTAACGATGATCTAGAAAAACTATGAATGGTGTTCAGAGAAGAGAGAAAAGTAAACCAAGTCAGCTTTATAGTAGGTAGCCGGATTTAAGTAGCATAAAGAGAAGTTGTCCTACCTGTAACTGTTGAAAGTCTGTCCTTAAGCAGGTCGCAGACCTTGTTTGAACTTGTTGCCTCATCTATAAAAGGGTGAGGGAGTTGGTTGGGCTAAATGACTGCTTAAGGGCTCCTTCTGATTCTCTTAACTTTCGAAGGCAGGCCATCTTGATCCAGTGGTTTGTTATCATACACTCATGGTATTGATTTGTGAGAATGGTATAGAGATGTTTACTTACATTTAGTCAAATTGGTATGTACACATTGGAATATATGGACATTTTTTGGCAACTGATAAAAGTCTCTGAGTTATAGACTTTTATGCATATGGCATTGAATATATAACAACTTTTCTGTTACTGAGTTTTATGTATGATACTTTATCTGAGGTAAGCACATGACACATTTTTAGTTTGGTTACAAACAGGTTAAAAAATACTCCTTAATTGTATTAAAGTATAATTTAATGCAGGTTGTTTTGAAGCATCTGTCTTCATATGATAGCATTAGTACACTTAGATAAAATAAAAAAATTACCCCTATTTATAATTACTTGAGTTTATCCACTCTGAAGATTTACAGTAAATTAAAGTTCAATGAAATTTAAATAAAATAAATTGAAGCCATAGTTAAAACCACTGCTGCCTTTATGAATGTCCTCCAAAAAAGGTCCATAGTGAAATCAGAAGAATGCTGAAGTTCTATTCTTCTGCTATTAGGATATGTTTATACTAAACTAATTACCAGAGTTTCTGAAATGTTAAGGTATTGCTGGATCACCAATAGATTCTATAAATTTTTTGTTTACTTAGAGTTTAAGGAGAAAATCTGGTAAGACGAGTTTAATAGTATATATATATATATATATATATGAATATATGACCACTAAGGTCTTTTAAGAAGAAAAGAAGCATAATCTTGATAGGAAGCAGGCCTTGTGAGGTTGAGCTGTCCTATCTGAAAATATATATACATTATGACTTACTAATAAGTTACTTTATACCAGTGCTCCACATTTATGTCTTTAGTTAACTTAGCCCTTCCCATGTCTCTTTGCCTATAAGATTGGGCATCTAAAGAGAAAGTTAGGAATGACATCTGTTTGATGAGTAACTCAGATTTTTGACAGCTCTGTCTCCTAAACATGCCTTAAAAATAAGTACAACTCTCCAGAAATTCATATAAGCAGAAGTATTCTAAAGCCAGTGATAATGTTATCAAACCATTATTTGCTGCTTTTTGTGTATGTATAGTCTCAGAATCCTGTAATAGTTGAGCTGATCATTGTTAACAGACAACATGAGTTTTGGGGATAATTATTCATTTGTTACATCTTTGGGTACAAATTTTAAGTCCAATGGAATAGGTTAACTTATGCTGAAAGAATATAGGAACTGGAGAGGGAAACAGTATCCATGTAATCTTTGGCGGATCCTCTTTCTCAGTTATATCAGATTAACACTTCATGAAGATGGTTTTAAGTTGTCTCTTGTATACAAGCTTTGCATCACAAGATGACTGAACACTGACCATGAATTTTTCTCACGTGTTGCCTGCAGCCTGAAGCAGGTTCTTCTCATTTGCCCTATGGTGCCTGCCTGGTTCTAGAGACTGGTCCACCTCTGTTTTGAGATTTTGTAGACCCATGTAAGTGAGGACCTGTCAGACAAAGGTGACATCATAGAGTAACATTAGTAGACATTCTAGATTTGGTAATCTCAAGTTCATATCTAAGGGCTTTTTTGTTCCAGTTATCAGTCGGACTTAAATTTGGAGACTGGGACTAAGTAGTAAAGTATATATTCATCAAGGCAATAAAAACCACATTTGCATTATTTTATCACTTAAAACCAGAAAAACTGTATTAAGATATAAAATCTAGTTTTATTTATTTATTTATGTTAAAGGTTTTATTTATTTATTTGACAGAGAGAGACACAGTGAGAGAGGGAACACAAGCAGGGGGAGTGGGAGAGGGAGAAGCAGGCTTCCCGCCCAGCAGGGAGCCCGATGCGGGGCTCGATCCCAGGACTCTGGGATCATGACCTAAGCCGAAGTGAAATCTAGTTTTAGAGGAGAGGCCACTGGGCGCCTGGGTGGCTTAGTCAGTTAAGCATCTGCCTTCGGCCTAAATCATGATCCCAGGGTCGTGGGTTGAGCCCCGAATTGGGCTCTCTGCTCAGTGGGGAGTCTACTTCTCCCTCTGCCCCTCCCTCCTGCTTGTGTTCTCTCTGTCTCTTAAATAAATAAAATCTTTTAAAAAAAATGAACTATTAGAGAAGAGGCTACTGATTAAAAAGGACTAATATGTCTGTTTGACTTATCTAAATGTTACGACTGTCAACAAGGCTGAATGTAGTTAACTCTAGCTCAGCATTGCTTCTCTATGAGGACTAATCCAAGAAAGAATCCATGGAAAGCATTCAGAGACTACCAAACAATGCTAACAGGAAATGAACAAGAGAATTCACTTGGATGACAGAGATGGTTTGAGGCAGATTACTTTTTAATGTAACTTGTGGATTAATCTTATTAACAGGAAATATTTCAACTGCCTAATACTTCTGATTTCACCTACAACATGGGAAGGACCCTGATGGTCGTGAATGTTATCGTTATAGGAAGAATTAAGATACCCTTAAATTTTCTCCCCTCCTGTGAAAATACAATCTATAGAATATGACTTAGAAATAAAAAATTAATGGGATGGACTCAGACTCAGCATGTCTTGACATTTTTGAATTTTTTTTACCTTGGCCTGGCAGGTTAACTGACCACAGCGGTTTATTCTATAGCAATATGGATTTTGCCAACATAATAAAATCCATGCAGTGTTTGAATGTTATAAACATGACTTACTTAGCTTCAACTTTTTAGATTAAAAAAAAAAAAAGGTAGTTTACTTTGCCAGAGTGGTGAGAAGTTAATTTACATATGGGAAAACAAATCTGGAACTTGGCTCTGAGCAATAGAGGTCTCCTCTATCTTTATTATTATCCCATTTCCAAAAGGAATTTGAGGTGAATTACAAAGATGTAGGGAAACAAAATGTAATAAAATCTGGAGGAAGGGAAAATAAACATCGAAAACAAAGGCAGGGTCTTAACATAGCCACATCGTAGTAAAATAAAAACCATGGTCCTACCTCTCACTGCAGATCCCCTACCAGGTCGGGCCTGATGAGGATACTCAACAGCACACAAATGATGATACTGTGTATCTGGCTGCAAAAGAGAAAAGATGACACACTTCTTATGATGTGACTTCTCCCAAAGAATAATATGTTAGTAGGTTTACAAGGAAAAACCTTGAAATCAGACAACCATGTAAATGGCATTGTCTGACAACCTGAGGGACAAGTTGGCTGAGTACACTCTTGTATTTTCAGTAAAAAATTCCAAGCCAGAGGCCCACAAAACCATTTGTTAACTTGTAAAAAATTTTTAAGTTGTTTTTCTAACTTTAAGTTCTAAAACTTTATTAATATGTCTTTAAGAAAATCTTAGCACTTATAAAAAATGCATATGGTTTAATATTTAAATATTAAATTTAGAATATTATTCAGAATATTTAAATATTCTAAGCATTTTTAATTGGCTGCCAAGGGAATTTTATCTAATTTAGACTGTACTATTTAAAACAACAGAATGGAGCCTTTTCAGCAACATTGAAATACGCATGACTTTACTTCCATACTTGAGATGTGACTCAATATGAAACATTTCAAAATTACCTCAAGGAATTTAAAGATTTTAAGATGTGGCTAAAATATTGAAATGCAAATATTAAAAAAAGCTGTCAATGCCATCCTGCTGGTGCTTCTGGAATAAAAAACATTCCTCTCCGTTCCCTGTCAGAGAACTGCTATCAAGAGATTTCAGGAATTTTTTTCTGGTGAAGCCCCATCTTTTTTTATTGGGGTCACCAAACTTCTTTTCTTTAGAGGGCCAGACAGTAAATATTTTAGGCTTTGTGGTACATACTGTTGCAACTACTCAACTCTGCTGTTGAGGTGGGAAAGCAGTCATAGACAGTACATACATGAATGAGTATGGCAGCTCTACTGTAATAAAACTTTATGTACAGAAACAGGCAATTTTTGTGGTAAGCCAAGTGGCCCATAACAGTAGTTTGCTGACCCCTTTTCTAGGTGAGAACACCAAGGAGCAGAGCGCTAGTCTGGAAGTGCCAAGCCAGGGACTCGGATCTAGTGCGCTTAGTTACATTGAGCTACCAGCTCATCTCCCTTTGCGTGACAGCAAATTGGGAAAGAAATAGCTAAGGAATGAAATTCTTACTTTTGTTATAAACAGCAGAAAAAGAAGAAGCTGAAATGTCTTCATCTGTTTAATTTAATTGCTAAGGCAACCAAAAATTAAATGTGTTTTAGAGAATCTAGCTGTAGAATTTAATCATCAAACACTGCTTAACAAATGCTCTGAATCAAATTTTGAGAAGATTAATAGAGGTTTTAAAGCTTTCTAGGATTCACATTGAGGAAGAATCAGAAATGCTCACATTTCCCTTTAGCTCCTGTTTTGGTGAGTTGCCCCCTAAATAAAGCATCTTGAGGTCTGTTGAGTTGAATAGTGTCCCCCATCCCCTGCCCCCGCCAATATTCATGTCTACCTGGAACCCGTGAATGTAACTTTATTTGGAAATAGGATCTTTGCAGATGTAATCAAGATAAGATGAGGTCATATTAGATTAGGGTCAGCCATAAATTCAGTGATTGGTATCTTTATAAGAGGGAAGTTGGACACAGATACACACAGGGAAGAAGGCTGTGTGAAGGCAGAGGCGGAAATTGGGAGTGATGTGGCTGCAAATCAAGGAGTACCAAGGACTGCTGGCGACCACCAGAAGCCGAGAAGAGCTGAGAACACATCCTTCCCTAGAGCCTGGAGAGGGAACATGGTTCTACTGACACCTGGATTTTGGACTTCTAGGCTCTGGAACTGATAGAATATTCTGTTTTAGGGGCGCCTGGGTGGCTCAGTTGGTTAAGCGACTGCCTTCCGCTCAGGTCATGGTCCTGGAGTCCCGGGATCGAGTCCCGCATCGGGCTCCCTGCTCAGCGGGGAGTCTGCTTCTCCCTCTGACCCTCTCTCCTCTCATGCTCTCTCTCTCAAATAAATAAATAAAATATTAAAAAAATTAAAATAAGGGCGCCTGGGTGGCTCAGTCGGTTAAGCGACTGCCTTCGGCTCAGGTCATGATCCTGGAGTCCCAGGATCAAGTCCCACATCAGGCTCCCTGCTCGGCAGGGAGTCTGCTTCTCCCTCTGCCCTCTTCCCTCTCATGCGGTTTCTCTGTCTTTCTCTCAAATAAATAAATACATAAATACATAAATATCTTAGAATATTCTGTTTTAAGCCACTCGGTCTGTGGTGATTTGTTATGGTAGCCCTAGGACACTAATAAACTGTCCCATTAATTTGTTCTCACCACTCTTTTAGTGGAGAATTGTATAGTGCTTTAGGCTGATATATTTCAAGGTTTATAAGTTGGAATAAGTGGGCTTCAGATATCACCATCCCGAAAAGTGGTGGAGGATTTGAGGCCCCTGGCTCCTAGGCACTGAGTGTGGCTCCAGTTCCCCAGGCTCTTCGAATCCTTTTGCCACAAAGCAGATGAGGTGGGGCTGAGTGGCTGGCCTACAATCCGGTAAGGTCAGCGCATGACTTCCAACCTCCCAACTAAGCTTTTTCTATTACTTGCTTAAAAGTAAAAGGGCCAGTAAATGCACATTAAATGGTAAGGTGATGTGAGCATCTCAAAACACCAATTTAAAAAAATGAATGTCCTGACTTGCCATCCATCAGTCCACAGCATAATCTGATACCACTTTTGGTGTAACTCCGTAAGAGCAGTGTTAGAGAATGAGTTATACTGATTTGATGTATTGGAGTTTAATATTGTTTTGCTTATTCTCAGAAGTATTTAATATTTAACAATTTAAATTGTTTAAAATTTGCGACATGTATAAGTCATTTTACCTTATTCTTCATTTTATCTTATTACCTTTTTTTAAATTCTATTTGAATGTCAGAGACCAGTTAGAATTTCAATGAAATGTACTTACTACACTATTTTTATTGTTAAGAGCCTCCGCTTTTATTCTTGGAGTTGATTAAGGCACTATGTGAAATCTTAAGTCTGCCAAACTAGTTTTTTTCTTTCCCCAACTGTCAAGACCATAGAGGAAGTATGTCACTACCAAAAATGATTGAGTTGTGTTGGGCCTGGAGAAAAAGTCAGGTAAAAGGAGTCTCTCCTGGGGCTGCTGATGGTTGGGCTCATCCACCACTGCACTTCGAGCTCGATTGGAGTCACCATGGGTTTTCTGCAGGGAAGACAAAAATTACAGAAACCATTAAACAATTTGTAGCCAGAGCTGTGTATGTCCTACATCAACCCAAGTAGGCATGGTAACTGCAGGCTGAGGAACTCCCAATTCCATTGTTATAAAGTTAGGATTCAGTTTGTACTTTCGACAAAATATAGTATAAGTTAATTCCAGAACACGGATCCTGCAGAATTACTGTCCCTGAGGTTTTATAAGCACATATAAAGGCAATAGGAGAAAGACCTACCGTTTGCCTTTGTGGCCCAGCAGTGCTCAAGTGTTCCACTTCAGCTGTGCCGATAGGGGGCAGCAGATTGTTTCGACTCAGGGGCATTGGTGAGGGAGAGAGCGATTCAGCGGCTACTGGGCTGCAGATCCCACCAGCAAACACCAAGATAAGAAAGCATAAAGTTAAAACAATACAAGCAAACTGATTAGAGTCGAATGAGGGAGATGAGTTTAATGTCATGTACAGAATGCTTTAAGCTTCCTGTGTTTCTAAGTAAAGCATGCTCAGTGAAAGGATTTTGGAAAATCAGTTTGGGGGGGAGGTTTTCATAATACTTTATGATTTTTGTTGAAACTTTATCCTGGGCACACAGCAGAAGTTGACCCTTTGTCTCACAGAGAGCTGGACAAAAACAGTTTTCCCTATCTGGTGTTACACCATTTTGGTGTTAACCTATTAAGGGTTTGTAATTTCACATCTGGTGGATTCTCCACAGTTCTGGGCCTTTTGGTTGTCCTTTTCACTAATAACAGTAGTCCTTCCTTATCCACTGTTTTGCTTTCCATGATTTCAGTTACCCATGGTCACTGGTGTCTAGAAGTAGATGATCCTCATTCTGACATATTGTCAGAAGGTCACTAGTAGCCTCGTGCTGCATCACAATCCTCCATCACTCCCCTTGCTTCATCTCATCACGTCGGCATTTTATCATCTCACATCACAAGAAGGGTGAGTGCAGTACAGGAAGATACGAGAGAAACCACATTCACATAAATTTTATTCCAGTATATTATTATAATTGTTTCACTTTATTATTATTGTTAATCTCTTACCATACCTAATTTTGAGGTTAAACTTTATCATAGGTATGTATGTATAAGAAAAAATAGTATATATAAGGTTTGGTACTCTCGGCAGTTTCAGGATCCACTGGGGGTCTTGGAACATATCCCCTGTTGGTCAGGGGGGACTGCTGTAATTATAATTCCCAGGTAAAATTCCTAAACTTTCCTTCCAGTTTGTAGCATTACGCATATTCAAGACAGTACCTGGAAATCAATGATACTTTCATGTCCCAGAAGAAACAAGGTAACTTGTTTCCACTTTGAAGAAACTGTCAGAAGGTATGAGAGATTAATTATACTTCAAGACTGCTTATCCTCAAATAAGTGAATCTATAACTATATCAATACCAACATCAACATAATAAAATAGTGAGTAGGTGAGAAGAACTCTGGTGTCCTGACAAAGCTTTTTGGGCATTATGGACATCTCTTTTAGTGAATCTATTGGGATAAATTAAAACAAGCTGAAAAATCAAAGTCAAGAAATAACATGTTGGGAGGGAAGTATAGTGAGGTGCTTGATTAAGAAGCTGAATTCAAAACATAGTTAAGCTATATTATCTCATACCCTTGATCATAGTTTTAGAATCAAACATCCTAAGATGTTTTGTGAATCAGCAACTAATGAAAGAACTTTATTTAAAAAAGTAGGCGTCTAAGTATTTTTTGCATGACAAAGCTCAAAGTGAATTAAGGATGGGAAAAGGAAAGAGAATATGGTTAGTGTTACTTCCTAAGAAGTGCTAAAGGATATTTTTCCCAGTATATAGACAAGTACTTATCTGAGGTTAAAATGTTATCTTTGTCAGTGGAATAAGCAGATCCCAGTGGTACAGAAAAGTATTAAAGGAGAGTTAACTTGTTTGGGAATGAATTTCACTGAGCATGTACTCACTAAGGAAAATGTTTGATAAGACACATATATCTTATTTCTTCGATAAGTGTCACTGAAGTATTCTAGCCAACATTTTGTTGTAGAAGTAAAAATCTTTAGCTAAATTAACAGAAAGATCCAATATCTGAATTTTATTCAGATTTAACTATATTTCTTTCTCTGTTGGATTTAAACCAGGGTGTAGTCCATCATGAGAATATGTAATGATTAGTTTCTAGACACATATTTCAACCTTATATTTATATTCATTCTCTATATAAAATTCTTCATTAGTTTTACCACAGTTTCCAAAAATTCCACTTTAGAAACCTACACTTGGGATCCCCTGAGGATTTCTTCCATAGGTCTTGGCGTTCCAGCACATGAATGGCTTGTGCTGATGGGACGAAGGGTACGTGGTGGGGGATTGCGTCTCCTGGCAGACTGCACTGTGTATGACAGAGCCGATGTACTAAGCTCCAAGGCTCGATTTGGCCAATTTCGAGTTGAAAGGATGGTACTGGATCCAGGTCTCGTAAGTAACTTGTCATCGAGATCTCTAGTGGCCAAATCAGAAACTCAAAATGAAATCAACATTGCTCTGTATAGGGAAACAGGACTCAAAGGCTTAGACTCTACAATACATTTAAGGGAGAAAAAACCAAAAGTAAGTAACCTAGTTTATACAAGTCATGTAATCTAGCTCAGGCATGAGAATGTGTTCTTAAAAGAAGGACATAATTTTAGTCATACAGGTAATTTACTAGAATGGAGATTTGGGAAAGCAAGTCCATTATTCACTGCCATGACAGTCACTTCTTCAGTTACAGTGAGGGCTGACCTGAAGATTACTTGCTCTAGGGTGCTTCCCAGAGTTCACCTCAGGGACTGAGATCCCTACCATATTTGAGGCATTCTTTGTGCTGAAGGAAAGACTTCGTTGAAAGGCAAATAATTACTGCTTAGGAGCAGTGTGGCACCAGTGTGGCTCCCACTCGAAGATTAAAATGCTGAGCTCGTTGGAGCCTTCAGGGGTAGGGGTTTGGGTTCCTTGGAAACCTGGAAGCAGGCAAAGGGTCCCAGAGCCTCGTGCTGTGCAGGGCACTGGAACTACAGTAGATTCCTATCTGCATAAGCAACTGAAATACAACAGTTTTCTGGAAGTACTCTGGTAAGTAGAATGCCATGTCCAAACAGCTAAGTAGCTTAAACTTTGTCCTACAGATTCAGGTTTTTGTTTTTGTTTTTTAGGCGGATGAGATATTTGCATTGTAAGACACCTGAGAAATAGTGTTTGGACAAGGAAATGGGGGGAAAGTGAAAGAATTAAGCTCTGCCACATGCTCTTTTGGCTTTCAGCAAGGTCCTCAAACTTTGAGGCCACTTTGGTATCCTGTAGTGCAAAATATACCTCAGTGTTTGGAGGACTTTGAAGGGAAAATACCCACCACGAAATGGAGCTAAACCTTATGCATTACTCACAAGAGATCGTGCTGGTCTACCTGCCTCCGTAACCATTCACTTATTAGCCTTTTCTTTACATACCCTAACTGCTTTCTATGACAGAAGCTTTAGGCCTTAGCTGCTCTACGCCTGTCTTGTCTTCTGGACTGCTCATTCATAATTCTGGATTCAGTTATCACCTTTAGCCCGGTAACTTCTAGATCAACCTCCAAATCTGACCTTTTCCATGTTTCCAGTGAGATGGCTTGGCACTGTAAACTCAACCCACCCCAAACCAAATTTATCTTTACCCTACAACAAGCTTGCCCTGAGCTTTGAGATCTCAGAGTTGACTTTGGTTCTTCTGTTTTTATAGAATCTGATTTCTTTTACAGTATCTCCTAAAATATTCCATTCCCTTATCCTTTGCAACAACTTGAGTATGACTTTTAGTAGCTCATGCTTGAACTCCTATATTAGACTCTTTATCTTCAGTTCCTCCTGCTTCAATCCAGTCTATTGTTCTTCTGCTGTAAAATCTATCTTTAAGATTCCTGACTTAAATGAGTGTGCTCCCTAGCGAAATTCATACATTGGTGGGAGTGTCAAATGGCATACTTTGGAAAACTGTATGGCAGTTTCTTATAAAGTTAAACATACACTTACCTATCCTGTGACACTTTCTACATATTGACCCAAGAAAAATAGACCACGGGGCCACAAAAAAGACCCATGCAAGAATGTTTATGGTGCCTTTATGCATAAGAGCCACAACCTGGAAACACCCCAAATGTTCATTAACAGGAGAACAGAAAACAATTGTGGTGTGTTCTTAAAATAGAATATTACTTGGCAATAAAAGAAAAGGCCACATGCAACAACATGAATGGATCTCAAAAACATGGCATTCAAAACCGTACAGTCTGGTCTCAACCTTCATTAATTTCATAGTCTTCTTCCCCACTCATCACACCACGATATATTTTAATTCTGAAAGATTGTCAGTGATCTTTGGTCAGAAGCATTAAAATTCTGACCTATCCCTTTTCTTACTATAGCAAAACTGGTCTTGGGGCACCTGGGTGGCTCAGTCGTTAAGCATCTGCCTTCGGCTCAGGTCATGATCCCGGGGTCCTGGGAAGGAGCCCCACATCAGGCTCCCTGCTCCACGGGAAGCCTGCTTCTCCCTCTCCCACTCACCCTGCTTGTGTTCCCTCTCTCGCTGTGTCTCTCTCTGTCAAATAAATAAATAAAAATTCTGAAACAAACACATGAAAAAAATTGGTCTGCTTTCTCTTCTAAATAATTTGTATTTTTGGGCGCCTGGATGGCTCAGTTGGTTAAGCGACTGCCTTCAGCTCAGGTCATGATCCTGGAGTCCCAGGATCGAGTCCCGCATCGGGCTCCCTGCTCGGCAGGGAGTCTGCTTCTCCCTCTGACCCTCCTCCCTCTCATACTCTCTGTCTCTCATTCTCTCTCTCTCAAATAAATAAATAAAATCTTTAAAATAAATAAATAAATAAATAAATAATTTGTATTTTTTTGTCTCCAGACCTTTTCCCACACCACTCCTCCTACCTAGAATAGTCTTGTTGCTCTTCTCTGCTTATCCAAACTCCCATCTTTGAAGGAAAAATTCATACTATAGTTACCCACCCAAATGTCTCCCTTCTTTCGGATTGTCATGCATTCAGTCTGGGCACCACACACTTGACATTCAGTCACAACAATGCCCTATATGGTTAAGTCTCTTTTTACCCGTGTGTGTCTTCTCTTTCCAGTTACATTATCAGCTCCTTGAGGGTGGAAACCATTTCCCTGAGATGTTTTTACTCCCCAGATGTCTCTGGTTGCTTGGTAGGTACTCAATATATGCATGATGATTGACTGATTTAGCTTTCCTTTTATTTCTCAGTGATCTATGTAAATTCTAGAGTCTATTAAAATTTTACACTTCTTACAGTAGCTTGTCCATTAGGGAGAGATTTCTTGGCTGTAGAGGCATCCCATGAACCAAGAGACCATTCACATTTGGCTGATGACCACTTGCTGCTTGACAGAGATTCATCTATATGTCAAAGGAAAATGTTACTTGTTATTGGTTGGTGAAGACGCTTGCTGGGTTTCCCAACTTCGCCAAAAGTTAATATTTTCAAATTAGATCATCTGTACATTTTTCTCCTGTGCCTTAACTTTTGTAACGTCTTTGGCCAGTAGCCCAGCTGGGGCCCCAAGTCCACTGTCAAGATGGACAGCAGGTCGGGGAAGCCTGATCAACTGAGATGAAAGCAGTTAACAGCCACTCTGATAGGGGAGCGAGAACTTCATTACTATCATTACTTACATTATATTAGGAAAGAAAACCTAAGAAGAGAAAATATGGAACAAATATAGAAACAAGAGTAAACTCTGACATAATCTCTTTTACCGTCAAACAGTCTTATGCTCTACACAAACATCCTTTCTCTTTCACTACCCCTGGAGCAGTCAGCTATCAGTCATAACCTAAATTCTGAAGACAGTTGTTAGCAAGAGCTCTAGTGCTAGCAGGATTTAATCTTCTGTGGCCTGACATTGCCACCTTGGAGTGTTGTTGATTTTCTCTGTCAGTCAGCCGTGCCCTTTCTGGTCATCTCCTCGGCCATAGCATGCATTTCCCTCCTAGTTTCTTTCAGGAATATCTGAATTAATGCTTCTCTTTCCTTTGGTCATTAACAGCCAGAAACATTTAAGTTAATTATTCATAATTTAGGCTACCTAACCCGTAGACCACTTCAGCATGTTAGCAGTGTTATTACCACCAAAGGAACATTAGTTCACCTGGTTAATTCTCCAGTGTGGTAAGATATGGATGGGCCTTGCTGATTTTATTTTTAAATAACCCATTTGTAAATCCAGTAGGACAGTATCAGGCCAGTATACCACCAAAGCAAATACTAGGTCTGGTAGTAAAACCCAGGGTTGATGAGCATGGCTCAAGGATTAGAATGCCCCCACCCTCTTCCCTGCCTTTTTTTTTTTTTTTTGTCACAAGTAACATTGGGAAACTATCATGTAGAAACTGGGACTAGAGAAATTATACAGGGATGAGACCAAGCTCATTAGCCTTCTGTAAGAAATGGCCATGTTTATGCTTGTCCACAGACTTCATTGGGACCACTTCCTTTCTTTGGCTGGCCTTTTACGCCTCTGTTATTAACCAGTACTAAACACCCAAAAGGCAAAAAAGTCAACAGATTCAAATATAAAAAAAAACAAAGCAAAACAGGTAGGCTGAGATAAAAGGGAGTCAAATGGAGAAATTCAAAGGATAGGATGTTAAGGCCACAGAACATCTGAGATTGGCCTCCCTTTCTGTCATATCCTTTATTCTCCCCCAAACAGACTTAGGCTAACCACATAGCTGGTCCTATATGCATAATTTATGGATGACTTTAAAAAAGAGCTGACTGAGGGGCGCCTGGGTGGCTCAGTTGGTTAAGCGTGTACCTTCAGCTCAGGTCATGATCCCAGGGTCCTGGGATCAAGCCCCACATTGGGCTCCCTGCTCAGCAGGGAGCCTGCTTCTCCCTCTCCCCCTGCTTGTGCTCTCTCGCTCGCTCGCTCGCTCGCAAATAAAATCTTTAAAAAAAAGAGGGACGCCTGAGTGACTCTTTCAGTTAAGTATCTGCCTTCGGCTGGGGTCATGATTCCAGGGTCCTGGGATTGAGTCCTATGTCGGGCTCCTTGCTCAGCAGGGAGCCTGCTTTTCCCTCTGCCTGCCGCTCCCCTTGCTTGTGCTCTCGTGCTCTCTCTCTCTCTGACAAATTAAAAAAAAAAAAAAAAGGCCATCTGTTTAAAAAAAAAAAAGCTAACTGACAATTATCAACCCTAATTTGCTATTAATTTTTTAAAAAATTTCTTTTAGAGAGATCACATGTGTGCGTGCGCAACTGAGAGCTAGAGGAAGGGGGTGGGGCAGAGGGAGAGGGGGGAGGGGCAGAGGGAGAGGGGAGAGAAGAATCTTAAGCAGGCTCCACACCCAGCGCAGAACCTGCCACGGAGCTTGATCTCACAACCCTGAGATCATGACCCAAGCAGAAATCAAGAGTGGGCTGCTTAATTGACTGAGGCACCCAGGTGCCCCACTATTAATTTTTTAAACTTATCAATGCAAAGAGTCATTGGATTACTGTGATAAACATATAACTTTACTGAAAAGAAAATTGAGTCATAAATAATAAAATTAAGGCAAATAACTCTGAGCAAGCTTCTGGCAAGAACAGTCCCAGGTTCTCCAGTACATTCCTGTGTGGGGCTTACTGGATTTGAGGTGATGGCCGGCACCTTCGACTGTGGCACTCGAGGTAAGATCAAAGGTTGTGGTTCATTCAGCACACAGGGGCTTTCTGAAGCTGGTCTGGTGATTGCAACATTACTCTCATCATCTGAGCAAAGGAATAGAATCTATTATCCATGGATATCTTCAGACCCACAGCAAAACAGTAAAAAAATCTTCCCCAAGAGTTCCTAGTCTCAAGCTAGGCTTCACTCATTTTTGCAGCCCAATTTCATACCACCTGCATGTTTAAAAACAACAACAACAACAACAACAAAAACCCTTAAGAAGTTCAAGTGGTTTCCCAGGCTGATGATGCCTATTGGTATGTGGCAGAAGGAAAAACAAAGATCTGTAGAGCAAAGCTATCCAGTAGAACACTTAGAGTTGATGGAAATGTTCTACACATGCACTGTCTCATAGAATGGCTTCTGGCCACATGTGGCTCTAGAGCCCTTACACTCTGGCTAGTGTTACTGAGCAACAGATTTTTAAAGTTTAAGTAATTTAATGAATTAAAATGTAAATAGCCAAGCAGATTTGGAAAAGAAAAAAACTACAAAGGAGAACTAAAATTGCTAAAATTAAAAACAGCAGAATTAATAGATTTAGATACTGCTGAAGATAATTAGTGAACTGGAAGAAAAAGATGTGAAGAAATAATTCTGAATTTAGTGCAGAGGAAAGGAGATGAAAAACATGAACTGTACTCTAAAAAGTTAGTTTTACTGTATGTAAATTATACCTTAATTTTAAAAATGGACAAGTAAAATCACGTGAAACGTCCGTTTAGACATTGACAATTAAACATTGATCAGTATACTGATGAGACTGTCAATACAGAAACTGTAAGTGGGCATAGAGAACTGGTACAATCATGTTGGATAATTTGGTGTGATCTAGTAAACTGAAGATGCATATTCCCTATGACCCAGCCACTCTATTCCTTGGTATATACCCCAGAGGAAATCTTGCACTTGTGTACCAAGAGAAATGTTTAAGATCGTTTATATCATCATTGATCATAATTGCAAAACACTGCATTTGGGGATTTTAGCACTTCTTACCACCAATTATGGTTCCAAAGCTCAACTCAAGATGAGGAATCATGTTTCTGAGTAGAATTAATATGCCCTCTGGGTCTTCATTGTTTCTAAACCACTTCCATTATCATTTGGCTTACAGTATATTGTAGTTTCATTCAGAGAAAGTATATCTTTTCTTGACAAAAATGTCCAGTGAAGCTTGTTTCCCCATTAGCAAATTAGGGTTAATAGTAAAAATAATTATTGATTTTAATTATATTATTAGTAGTTTTATTTTAAAATATTCTTTTGTAATTTGGATTTTAAAACTGGCCTGATTAAAAGTTTAAATGACCATAAAAATAAGTTAGAAAAATGTTTATATTAGCATTTTATATACTTTTAGGTTACAGTTGACAAACCTTAAAATACCACAAGTTGTCACATGGTCCTATGTAGTATGGTTTTTTCTCATGTAGGCGGAGAAAAAGTTGCTTTAGTAGTAGGAATAAGTTTGTACCAGCACCCGCAGGTTGGGTCTGAGAACAACTAACCAACTGGTCCACACCAAAGCCAAAAATCCAAGAGTTCTCTTTTCATACTTCAAGATGTTATTTTTAAAAAGTCATGATAGCACCTAACATTTATTGCACTGTTACATATTCCAGGAACCATTGTATATGCTTTAATTTAATGTAACTCATTTATTCCTTACACAACCCTATATTTGTATTATATTGTTTTATAGATGAAAAACTGAATCACAGTGAGTTTAAGAGACTTGCATAGGGTATAAAGTTCATGTCAGAGCCAGAGCTCAAATAGGTTGTCTGGTAACAAACTGCTTTTAACCATAATAGTACATGACTTCTCACGGGGATAAATTTGGCCCATGCATGGGCCAAATATGATCCATTACCTGTTTATCTTACTGCAGTAAAACATGCATAGCTTAAAATTCACCACTTTAACCATTTTAAAGTGTACAACTCAGTGGCATTAAGTACATGCATAATGCGCAGTCATCACTAGTTCTGTAACTTTTTCATCACCTCAAAGGGAAATCTCATGCTCATTACCGCTGCTAGTTTTTGTAAATAAAGTTGCAAGAGTACTTTATTTTCATTGCTGTATAATACTCTCTTGTATGAATGTATCACACTGTACTGTTGAGGGACATTTGGGTAGTTGCGAGTTTGTATTTTCCAGCATGTGGTGCTATTATGGACATTCTTCTGTATGTTTTAGTGAGCATATACACTGAGCACGCAGGAGTGTACATAACCACATTCACTCATTTGCATATTGTCTATGGCCGCTTTCAAGGGCAGAGCTGAGTAATTGCAACAGACTGGATGGCTGGCAATGACTGAAATAGTTAAAACCTGGCTCTTTATACACAAAGTTTGGTGACTTCTCTTTTAGGGGGTCAACTCACTAAACAATCAGTCCACTAAACCACTTAGAGATCCTCCAGCTCCATTTCAAGATCAATTTCTTTTTTTTTTAGACTAAATTTCAAAATCAAACAATACAATGAAATAACCCTAAATTTATGGATGCACAGAAAAATAAACTAAAAGGATATCAATTTACAGTCCAACATTGGTAAATTGTGAAAGTTGAAATGGAAGTTTTCTCTGATATGTCGGACTTGATACTGAAAATTGAAAGAGTTCCTTTATTTATCACCAGTGTTTATTGTTACTGCAGTTCAGATATAACTGTGGACTTTATCTGTTATTTCCAAAAACTTAAACTCATATGATATAAACCAGTTACTTTTTTTTTTTTTTTAAGATTTTATTTACTTATTTGACAGAGGGAGAGCACAAGCAGGGAGAGTGGCAGGCAGAGGGAGAGGGAGAAGCAGACTCACCACTGAGCAGGGAGCCTGAGCTGAAGGCAGACATTTAACTGACTGAGCCACCTAGGCGCCTTAAACCAGTTAGTTTTTTAAAGGGTGTTAGTTCTGTTTTCCAACTCCAGCTTTATTTATTTTTAAGGTTTTATTTATTTATTTGAGAGAGAGGAGCGGGGGAGAGAAAGAGGGAGAGGGAGAGAAAGAATCCCAAGCAGACTCCCTGCTGAGCACAGAGTTCCATGTGGGACTCAATTCCACAACCCTGAGATCATGACCTGAGGGGAAACCAAGAGTTGGATGCTTAACAGACTGAGCCACCCAGGCGCCCCTCCAATTCCAGCTTTAAAAGAGAACTTGACATGCATACAACAGAGTGGCTTAAAAAAAAAACCCACATAGGGCACCTGGGTGGCTCGGTTGGGTGACTGCCTTCGGCTCGGGTCATGATCCTGGAGTTCCGGGATTGAGTCCCACGTCGGGCTCCCTGCTCAGCGGGGACTCTGCCTCTCTCTCTGACCCTCCCCCCTCTCATGCTCTCTATCTCATTCTCTCTCTCAAATAAATGAATAAAAATCTTTAAAAAAAAAAAAACCCACATAGACAGTATCAAATGTAGCAAACATGTGGAGCAACTGGAACTTTCATACAATATTGGAGAGTGTAAATGGATGCAACCACTTTGGAAATTTTGTGACAGTCCCCACTGAAGTTGGAATAGCATATCTCATGACCCACCAGTGCTACTCTTAGGTATCTAGTACATTTGTTCACCAAAACACATGTACAAGAACATTCCTGACAACACTATATGCTGGCAAACATAAACTGCAAACTATTCAAATATCCATCAACAGTAAAATGTGATACAGTCATACACTAGAATACGATATAACAATGAAACTATTATTCCAAGCAAAACAGTTGAATCTAACAATGTTGAGTTTAAAAAGACAGATGCAAAATGGTATATACTATAGGAATCCATTCTTATAAGTTAGGATAGGGTTACTCTTGGGTGTAGGAGTTTAGTCAGTGACTGAGAGAAAGCATGAGAGGGGCTTATGAACGGTTGGTAATATTCTGTTCTTGGTCTGGGTGCTGGTTGTACATGTGGATTCATTTTTTTTTAAATTGAAACCTATTTAACATTAGTTTCAGGTGCACAGCACAATGATTTGACAATTATGTACATTTCAAAATGCTTGCCACGGTAAGTGTAGTTACATCTCTGACGATACAAAGTTATTACAATTTTATTGACTATATTCCCTATGCTGTACTTTTCATCTGAGGGACATACTTATTTTATGACTGGAAGTTTGTACCTCTTATTCCCCTTCACCTATCACCCCCCACCCTCCCCTCTGGCAACAACTAGTTTGTTCTGTATGAATCTGTTTCTGTTTTTCATGTTGTTCCTTTGTTTTTTAGATTACATGTATAAGTGAAATCATGGTATTTGTATTTTTCTATCTTATTTCACTTAGCATAATACTTCTTAGGACCATCCATGTTGTTGGGAATGGCAAGATTTCATTTTTTATGGCTGAGTAGTACTCCATTGTGTATATATGCCACATCTTTACCCATTCATCTATCAGTGACACTTAGGCTGCTTCCATATCTTGGCTGTTGTAAATAAATAATGCTTCAATAAACATAAGGGTTCATATATCTTTTCAAATTAGGTATTCATTTCCTTTCACTAAATCTCGAGAAGTGAAATTACTGGATCATATGGTACCCAATTTTTAATTTTTTGAGGAACCTCTATACTCTTTTCCATAGTGACTACATCAATTTACATTCTCACCAGCAGTGCATGAGGGTTCCCTTTTTTCACATCCTTGTCCTTAGTTACTGTCTTTTTTTTTTTTTTAAGTAAGCTCTATGCCCAACATGGGGCTTGAACTCATGACCCTAAGATCAAGAGTCACGTGTTCTACTGACAGAGCCAGACAGACACCCCAGTTCTTGTCTTTTTGATATTAGCCATGTGACTGGTGTGAGGTCTCACTGTGGTTTTGATTTGCATTTTCCTGATGATTAGTGATGTTGAGCAGCTTTTCATGTGTCTGTTGGCCATCACTATGTCTTCTTCGGAAAAATGTTTATTCAGATCCTCTGTCCATTTTTTAATCACATCGTTTGGTGTTGAGTTTTAGAGTTCTTTATGTATTTCAGATACTATTCTCTTACCGAATATAATTTACTAATATC